TATAGTATGAATTAACATAATAATATCCAAATTTTGAATAATAATGCATAAGTGTAGCATAGCATACGGACTGTATGCTTATAAATTATACACATTTTCAGTATTATATTAATCGCGTAACAACACAGTAAAATACGGCTTTATGCACATAGATATATATCACACTTCTTTTTTAAAGATTAGATTATATTTAATCAATGGTCAATATTAATATTAAATTACTATTTATTTATAGGTATATGTAATATGTATGCCAATACCATGTACACAAATCGAGTATTACGCTCTATATGTATTAATTATCATGGTAACTCAAATAAGAAAAAAGAGTACTCATTGTTTATCACTAAATAAAATTATTTAAGATACATATTATAAAATGTTTTGGGCAGGAATGAAATATAAATTTTAAATACAAAATAATAGTTATTACTTATTACTTATTAGCCATGTAACGGTTTTCTTATCTGATTTAGGGATTCAATTAAAGAATTAATATCTTATTTACATAAGTCCAACTGTTGAACTGTCCAAACTCCAGAATGTTTAGGTACCAACTAAATAATAATATACGAATTTAATAATGATCTACTGCAATGCAAAATTTCCAAAAGTTTTAATTCATAAACTTAAAGCTATTATTATAACCATGTAAAATGATAGCAAAATTTTTATAGTCCATAATATGTACAGGGTGATGTACCAATAATGCTCAAACTCATTTTTCCCTTTAATTATATGTATTTTTTTAAATTCTAATTTTTTTATTAATATTATAAAAACATATAAAAGTTAATAATAATGCCAAATGACCTTGTGGTAAAACTTATTTTTTTAAATGCTAAATACCACCATTTTTTATGTAAATACTTAAGCAGGTTACTTTTTTGAAAATGTTATTTATAAAAAAATATTAACATTATGTAGGTACCATAGATATTAAAATATAAATCGTGATTTTAACGAGTGTGTAGTTTCTGAGCCATCAAATTTTGTATACTAGGAAACCTAGTCTATGATTGTATGATACTAATATACTTTTAATATAATAATAAATAGGCGTAGAAGTTATATGATAATTTGAAAAATACAACTTGTGAAAAACAAATATTTTTTTTATTATTTTTATATATCCGAGTATAATAAATACATAACTAGATATTTTACTTATAAATTATGCATTGATCTTATATTTAACTAGCTTTATAACCTGACTTTGTCCCGAAACAAATGAATACGGTGCTATACTATAGATGTATCTCGATTAAAATGTACCCTTGCAGTTCGTGGTTAATTTCTGATCGGTGTACGGTGTACTTACTTCACTTTGCGAACTAATTCGATCGATATGAGCAACTGTTTGTCATGGATAGATGTAACAATAATTGGTGTGTTTTTGAACATATTTCAAACTTCGTTTAAATGAATAATAGTTAAGTAAACTTAAAATTTAAAATTTATCAAAATTTGAATAAATCTATTATTAAAGGGTAATATGCAAGGGATAAATAATATGTTCACTGAATAAGCATGTATACATACATAATTTGCCTATGCCGCAATTTTGCAGAACACTGACCGCGAGAATAATTTGAAATCATATACAATCTGTTAGAATAATCAGCGGCATTACGGTAAATATCTATACTACATTTACATATTATATCATACATGTTGTATACTATAGTGTTAGATTATTAATTAATATCATCAAACCTATTATTTTTCCTTTGTAGACATATTTTATTGTAATATAGTTTATACAATAACATTCATTTTTATATTCTCGTAAAGTACCATAATATTATGTTCACATATTACATAATATTACTTTAAATATATACATGTAATGCAACGCACTTGAATCGTCATTTAATATATCTTTAGTTAGGTACAGGGTTTATATTTGAAAAAAAATTGTTTATACGTTATTTATAATTAAACCAGTAATGGCACGAAATTATGGAGGTTTTGAAGCATATTTTATATTTTAAATATTTTTACCACCATCCCTAATAAGTAGCAGTGGCTAGAGGGCTTTCAGACATGAAGCAATTGTTTCAAATAATCCTATACCTATCCCGCCACCGCTGAATCTAACGTTATATACATTTTGAGATTATCGTTATTTAGAATTTAAACGTTATTCAACTTTTGCATTTATCGTTATTCAAAATTAAAATTTTTAATATATTTTATAAATTATAAATTTATAACTATTAAAATATAATTGGAAATTAATTATTTTGTTTAATGATATACTATATATATAGTGTTTTGGTTATGTTTTGTTTTGTGTTACTTAATTATTTATGTTTATCGTTTTCCGTTAAAATTAAGTTTATACATTTTAATCGTTTTTGTCAAATATTACATTTGCAAGCCCTGGTTATATATTAAGTACATATAGGCATAACTGTATGTCTGCAGTATATGTACCTATTTAAAATGTTGTAAATTATGATGTTAAATTTATGATTTTTAATGTAATAATATGTAGCTATAGTCTATAGGATATAAAATGTGTTATATTTTATTCTTGGTCTTATATTTTGAACACGTGGTTCTTATTTATATTAACTTATACCAATAATATTATTAAAATTATGAGTCGTCCGTAATTCCTATGCAATCAATAATCGCCCAAATCGTCTGGTAGTAAAAGAAGATTAACTATCTATTAAGTTATTAAATTATTTTATATGATTAACAAAACATAAATCTTTATGTATAGGTATGTAGGTATTTTACACAGGGACACGGAGTGTCTACTTAGCTCTTTCATTCCATTATATTAAATATTAAAATATCAAATTATATATATAAAAAAAAAACACACTTAACTTTATTAAACGAGTAGTACTTTTATATACGTTTTGTGCAACTCGATGATATTTCAAATTATATATTAATTAAAATAATGAAATGTTATGTATATCGAACAGTTGTAGAAGAAATGAGAAATTGTTTATTACTGATGGCTGTATATAATATGTACCTATGTTACAATATAACGAACATAGTATACGTTATTACATAATCCTTTTGTTAAGTAAATAAGTAAAAAGTATTATTTCCGCGTGCGTAGAAGGGGATTTATACAAAGATGAGACAACAATCTTGCTAAAAATTGCTAGAGTCCTTCGAAATATTTCAATTTTTACACAGTGTTATTAACAATAAAATATTATGTGCGCCTGATGGGTGGTAGTCAATACAAATTGTGAGTTTATTAATATATATCTGCAAGCTTATGGCAAATTTGTATAATATGATGTGTTATACATATTACGTACGTATTATATATCCGCTGTTCATATACATGAATATGTGTATATACACATACATGATATATGTATCGTACATAAATATATAATAATATTACATATGATATACCTATATATATTATTATTACAGACTAAATATATAAATTTAGAATGTATGAAGTAATATTGTATAGTTAAAGTTTAATAATAATTGTCATTACAAAAAAAAGTCTGCAATTTGTTTATTGTACAATATAATATGTTACATATTGTAAATAATATTCTTTTAATAAAAATAAATAGTTACTGCAGTTATTATATTAAACACCCACATATGCACCTGTAGGATATGTATACCTATATACATTTCTTATGGCTGCAAACGGCAGGTCTGTATATACGATGTTTTGATGACAATAATATAGTAATCATCATTCATTTCCAGCGTCCATTTGAAATATGATTTATAATATTATTATTATTATTTGCAGCTGTCTGCACGCGGAAGTCATTTCGCATTTAAATGCTACTATTATATAATAGTATTATGTACCTACAGGTGCATGTATGTTAGTCAGACCGGATGAATCAAAGAATTTAAAATATATGATTTTATTTCGTACAGATTTTGTTAAATGGTATAAATAACAATATCACATATTATCTCTTAGAATATACTTTATTGGTTGATATAAGTGTAAATTTTCAATAAAACGTGCTTTAAATTAGTTTTATTATTAATTACTCATTATTATATATTATACCTACGTTTTATTTAAATATAAATGTATTAAAAGTTATTGCAAATTAATAGTTTTTAAAACACATTATTTATTTATATTTTAACGAAATAGTTGTTATAGCCAATACATATAATATTGTTATTTATATAAGACCCACAATCAAGGTTATATTTAATTGAAAACAAATTTAGGGTAGGGGTAACATTTTTTAGTACAGGTACTTGGGTACCTATTATAAATGTGCACAGATAAATAATTATTTTAAAATTATAGCTGTTAAAATTAAATGTAGTACTTATCATTATTTTTTAGTTACTTTAGTGATATATATATTACTACTCAAGTATCACAGTTAAAATATTATAGGTATCATTATTTATGTTTAAAATGTAAAAACTTATTGTTTTCTATTTTTAAAAAATTAACACGCCATAACAAGCATGAAATTTACGAAAGTCTAATATTTAAATATCTTCATCGTGAATATATATGTACATTGTATATTATGTCTAATCCATGGCTAAATAATAGCCATGGTCTAATCCTTATGTAAGCTTGGGTGGGTATTTTAAGGTACTTACCTACCTATTTTATAATAGATTTCAATAATTCTTTAAAATGTATAAAATAAAATAGGTGTTAAAAGAAGCTTTTTAAATGACCAATAATATTTTCATAGTTATATTAAATTTAAAAAATCAATCCAATAAAATATAGTAACATAGCAGTTTTTTTTTTTAGAAAGATCAAGGTAATCCGTGCGGATTGCGGACGGATCACGGATCACGGGTTAGCTGCTACCGCCATCGTCCGGAGCTCGCGGCATCTGGCGGCGGTTATCGACGACGGGTGGTGCCAACGCGAGAAACGAAAATCTCGTGGCGTTGATAACGCTACGACACGTTCGGTATCGCCACAGAATTATCGCGGCTGCTAAATGTACATCACTGTCACACTACCAGAATTATTTGACTATATACGATAGGTACTACAACTACACACGACGTGACCGCGAGAGACCGTACTTTTTTCGGGGCGGCGTTTTCCTCTCCGCGCCCGCACCCACACTCACAAGTAAAAGTCTGACCGTCGCCACCGCCGCCGACCGACGACGACGACTGCGGCCGCCACTCGTCGTGCAACCGTGTGTCGCGCGACTTCAGTTGCTTATCGGCTCGCGTGTTCGTTCCCGTCACGTTCGGTGTTTAAATTGATGTGGTGTGATGGTTTTAAATCGTCTTCTCTCAAGGTACTCGGTGTGACGGAGAAACGACGATAACAACGTTTTTCGTGGTCAGCGGTTGATAACGACGCTGTGGTGCATATATAATATTGTTGAACAAGCGCTTTTAGTCTTCGACGTTTGACTCATTGTTGTCATCTCTGTGTCGTGTAGTGGACAGATTGTGTTTCCGTTTGCGCGGCGTTGGAGCGGAGTTCGTGATTGGAAAACCTCGTGGGGTCGCTATCTCCGCCGTCGTCATTCGTTCATGCTTCGTCTGCGGTATACTATCGAAATGTCATTTAGCAACGGTTTGTCGCCAGCGGCTATCTGATAGGACCGGATGAGAAGTTGACCTCTCTGCAATTTTCCAGCAGTCTAGGAAATGGAGTCTATCCGAAAATGGTTTTACAAGCCAAAGGTGAGTGCTAGTATTGTTTTCATTATTCTTAATTACAGTTTTTTTTAACTACCTACTATCTAAACAGTTAATATCTGCAGCTTGATCGATCCTCCAATTGGTCTTGTTAACGCCTCCTACTCAGATACTCCATGCTTAATATTATAATAATAGGTAGCTTTAGCTAATAGAGTTACAGCAAACACTGTCTGTTATATCTGTTTTTTTATTGAAAAGATTTGGTAGTTTATTTTTCACTGTTTTAGTTACTCGTCTATATTAACAGGGTCTTTTATCTTTCAGTTTACTTGGTTTTGATTACAATTATTATACTTTTCTTATCTTGCGAACTCAATATTATTTATATCAATACAAATATAATTATAGCTTTATTTTTTATTTATTAAGTACATCAATCTGTGTTATAGGTAGGTATGTGATATTTTGAAACTAAAACTAATAATATTTATATTTTTTATATATTATAAATGATTTGATTAGTATTATTGTGGTAACTTTAAAATTTCTTAATGGTTTGTTGCTACCACTGAGACTACCATTTACATACTGAATTGCCTTGTCAGTTTTGAATGCATATTTATTAATTATATAATAATTCACTTGTTCATTAACAAGATATTGGTATAAATTAAATATTTGTGTGTTTAGAACATGGTTTTGAAAGTCTAGTTCATAAGTAATTCTATTACATTTAATAGTTTCTAAAATTGCTTATTACTCATAGGTACCTATAATATTAGTATTTATACCCATTTAATTTTATGTTTCAATCAGTATTGTACTTTTCAATATTTTAATTTACATATATCTTAGTCAGATATAGGCTCGGATATAGGAGTAGATACCTATTTATTCAGTATTATCATTACAGATATATTTTTGATTAGGCTTAATGTGGGTATGGTATGAATGGGTGTAGTAAATAAAGAATTTATTCTAAAAATTAATCATTGCAAACATATTAGACAACTCAAAAGTTATTGAGTTGTTGGTCATAAATAAGTATAGCTCATTAAAATATAATCTTTCTATTCTTGTCAGTTTTTGTATTACAAATTTAAAATGAAGTTAGATAGTTGGTAACCTCTATCTACTTTACTAAAAGTGATTTAAAGAAGACTTGTTAAATATTTACCTACTTATATAAAAACGAGTATAAAAATTGTATTTTATTTTCAAATATTCAGGATTTTTACTTTTTAATGAAAATTTTAAGTTAATCTAGTTGATAATTATTACCTATTACTACCTACCTATTATAAATTATTACAAAGAATAACCCGTTACTTACTAGTTATTAGTAATTTTTGCTATTTAATTTAATGGAAATTATTAATGATTGATGATACTTAATAATTTGTTCTGTCATATAATTATTACTACTTAAATGCTAGTTCTACTACCCAATTTTTATTTTTGAATAAAGTTTAAAATACATTTCTTTTTATGTACCTATCTAGTAAGATTTAATTAATTTTAATGAAATTTAAAAATTGATCATAAAGGGAAGAGTGAATGGAAAAATTCTGGACAAAACTATGTCTTGCCATACCTAAAAAAAGTTTACATTCCCATCAAGTCTAGTTTATAAGATGTATCTATTGAAAATCATTGATATAAAATAATATCTAATTTTTAGTATTATTATTTTTGAATTTAGAATTTATATAATTTAGGTAGATACCAAAATACTTTAATTAAATTTTTAATTTTTTTAAAACTTCATTATTTCTAGTACCTATTTAGTAAACAAAAACAATTTTAGGAGTTGTGATCTCTTAATACTCATTTATTATTAAAAACATTTTTTTTTTTTTTTTAGATTTTAAAATCATAAAAGTAAAAAAAATAATCTCAATTTCCATTTTTATTGCCTGTTTCCTTGTTATAGTGTTGGTATCGTCAAATATTTATTTGCCACTTACTATACTTACAAATAGGTAAAGGTTTATATTTAATTTATTAAAATTAAGATTTTAGTATGTATTTTAGATTTATCATATATTATAGTTGGACGTTATATAATTGTATATGTAGTACATTATATTAATATTATTAATTTTATGTTATCTTAAATCATTGATCTGTGATAAAAAAAAATAACAAAAGCGTTTACTCAAGGACAACTTGCGGTCTTTTACATAATTTATTATGCTCGTTTTAAAGACAATCAAATAAAAAAAGAATCAATGACAATTTAGTGAAGATGAATTTTGGTTTTTAAATAAATATAATTTAATTATTTCAATAATTAATGGTTCAATTATACTTATTATTTATTTATTATTAATTTGCTTTAAGATTTGTATACAATTTTTATATTAGGTAGCTTTTAACAACAATAAACTAAGCCTACAATGTGGATTAAGATAAAATATGCCACTTATCATATAACTAAAGGCCTAATTATTGGTTAACTTGGCATGCCTAAAATGATCAAGGTTCTATTTTATAAACTAGTTTCTTGTTTACATTTTTTCTTAGATATATATTATATTTTGATGTTAACTTATTACTATCTTTAAAAATGAATAGAAAATTATAAAAATTATTTATTTTTTATCTATAAGTATTTTTATTGAAATATAGGTACAAGTTTAAAACATTAAAAGGTTTTTTTTGTTATTGCTATAAAATGTATTGTATGAAAAATTGAATCTTAAATATGTTGAACATTGTTTTGGAATTACATACATAAATTATGTTGATTTTAAATGTAAATACGCATTTGTATAGACATATACGTATAATTAGTTAAGAGATTACACAGAAAATATTTTACGGTTGTTAATTGTTATTATCGACATAAGTGAGTGCAAGAATTTTGCACATGGTATCCAGAATTATTTTAATAAGGGTTACTACTTACTTGTTCTATTACAATTCAGTAAGTTAAATCTTTGGTCCTATGGAAGAATTGAATTGAAAAACTTACATAAGATGAAAATATAAGTGACAAAAATTGACTTAAACTTTAATTCTTCCCTAAGATCAAAGAGATATTGTGTCTGTATTATAATAAATAACAATTAGGTAGTTTAAAATTAAAGATTTTTAAACGCTGTTTCATTGATTATGGATTTAAAAAATACTTGATATACCTAAACTGAATATTATTGTATAAAATAAAACAAAAACAATTATTAATTTCTATGCAACTCATTTTAAATTTTACAAAGATTATATTATATACATTTATGATGGTAATCTTCTCTGTATTAGTGTCAGTGTTTTAAACTCATAATTTATTTCCTCTGTGTCTAATGAGATTAAAATTTTTTGCTCAATAAGTATTGTGAGTAAGGCATATTGCTATTTTTGAAAGGACATATTTACATGAGCGGCTAACTGGTACGGTAGTAAATTTTTGTAGCACTTTAAATCTATTTAAATAGGTTTTCAATCGGTTGGTACCATTCTTAGTTAGCCAACTCAACCACTGAGTTATTGTAGAATTATAACTTCCTCTTGGTATATCATCTATCTGTGTAAATACGATAGTCTGATTTCTGTGCTGAGTTGATAAAAAAATAAGCTAAATGCATCAGAAATAATTTGTAAATATTTTTTTTGTTTTTAGTTTTAATTAGTTACCAACACTTTTAATTAAATTTAAAGTGTCTTAACTGAAATAAAGTTTGATACCATTTAACATTTTATCAATAACACTGTTGTACACAGTTATCTTTATTTCTTCTTTTGTATTTTCAAAAAATATTGAGAATGACTTATGATTTAAGTTGATATTTTACGGCTTTTAATTTTAGGTATAAAATATAGATTAGATTAATGATCAATGATTATACACTCGATAATAAAGATTGGTTATCACTTATCAGTTATAAATTAATGAGCAATATTTCAATCAAAAATTTAAAATAGGCACAAATACACCACCTCGGGACTAATGATTATTGATAATCGTAAATTAGGTAGATTAATCATGTTGTATTGTTTTTATTAATGTTAAGTATGTTATCATTAATTTTCATTGTATTTTACGTACTTCCTGTAATTTCTTCCCTCAGGCGTTAGACCTAATTTAAATTTCCGAAATTTTAAACTAATAGGAACCTATGTAAATTTTCATAATGACTGTCTCTAGGCAATTATTATTTGTATATAAATACAAATAAATAGTACATAATATTATATAGGATATTATATTTATTAGGTACCTACCTATTATACAAGGACAACAAACAACAGAAATAATAACATCCTTGATCAAGCCAATGTATTTGAATCTAAAATCCAATTAAAACCGTTAGGTATAATTTTTTTCCATAAGGAAATTACCTTGTATTTTTGTTATTCATGTCGTTAAAGATATGACAACTAGGTGCGACAATTCTATTTTAAGTTGTAATATATTATAATAATACAAAATTATAACAGAATCAAAAAAAAAAAAAATTACTTTATTTCAAAGTTGACATATTTATTAATCAGACCATAACTTAATGGTTCACAGATAAATTACCCAAAATATCGTGATTTTTAAAACCAAAATTTTTTTGTTATTTATAAACTATTGATAAATAACAAACATTGATTTAATAAACTATTGATATTTAAACAGTGATTATGACACCTGATTTTTCTCTATTGTTCGATAATTAAATCGAATAATAATTTTTATTACAGTAAGTTATTGTACTTACCTAATAAACAGGATATTTTTTATTTTATTTTTATCTGTTATTACAAATCGACTAAAAGTATTTGTATTATTCCATAAACAATAGTAATAAATATTATAACCGGTGCCATATTTTATTATATTCTTATAAAACACAAATTTTATTATACACTTATAAATTAATTTAGTTTATCTTCTACTTTTTAAGAATTTTTAGTAATGAATTTAGTTATTTGAGATAGTATATTATTTTAAATATCTACGAATTTAATTTGGTATATCAAACTTTTCTGAGTTAAAATGTTTTGTTGATTAATAATTTTTTTTTTTTTTTTTTTTTTTTATCTTTGTGAATAGA